ATGTCTTACATTTAAGATCCTCTTACATTTAAGATCTATGTACAAAATTGTTGAAAAAGTCATGTACAAAATTTATAGAAGGGGGGAGGGGGGTCAAAAATCGTTCTCTAGGAAATTACCCTAAGTGCAAACCTCATTTTAGGAAGAAACTGCAAATTTTTTCAGAAGTTACAAAAAATATTTGATGAGACGGTGGTTAATTTATCGTTCAATTCAACTTAGTCGGCCTAGCTTGCGTTCAGCAGACAACAGCTTCCTTCACTAACCTGACTAAACCGGCCGGTGATAATGCGCAATCAGCTGATTATACCGGTCCAAAACAGGTATAATCAACACACATCAAAATATCTAAAAAAAAAGTGAGATTTGAAATTTAAAAAATCAAAAATTTATGATTTTTTTAATAAAAGTTCTGGAACAATGACCCCTGAATTGTACTTTTATTATTAGACATAAACAAGTAAGTTTAAGAATAAGGAGTTGTCTATACGCATTTTTACGCAAAGGGGACACTTGAAGCAAAACATGGACCAAAGGATGCACAGCCAGATATGTCAAAAAGGGGGGACAAAAGTAAGCCCCCCCCTGGAAATGAAAACTATGATTTCAGGGGAACATTACCCCCCCTTTCCTAGACACCCCTGCAGTGCAGCTCAATTACAGTTACTCCCAGTTAGGAAGAAAAGAATATCAGGGAAACTTGAGAACCTTCCTTGACTCTAACTTCTAGGTTTTTTTTATTTTGCAGTACGACGTTGCACTGTACATTGCGCACTTGCAGTACACATTCTTCTTCTTATAGATATGGTCTATTCCAAGGATGTAATGCAAGGAAAGTTATTTCAGAAGTGTACGCATCTTTTGTACTGCAGTGTACTGTCTCTGGGCGGTTAATGTAAACACAAGACGGATGTTACAGCCTGACATGGGATCCATCTTTCACATAAAAAAATCAACGAAATATTCTGGTCATAGGAAACTATTATGTGAATTATCAAAATTATCAAATTTAATGCTTTTAACCTCCTCGGATACTAAACGAACACTGATGCATGCTATTATTGTTTACAAATTCCGCCCAAAGAGAGCTGGTTTCAATATGTACGCAGAGTATACACGACCGCAATTAATTTTCCTTGCATTACACCCTTGGTCTATTCCGAATTGTAATCTAAGTGACCAATTCTATGATGAGGGCATAGAGAATAGAATATATAGAGAGGAATTAAAAGAATCTCTCGGTATGAACTTTTTCAGTCCCTTTCAGCCTGAAAGGGAGTTCAAAGTGTACAAATCATGTAAATGTTCACAAATTATATGCAGTAGAGTACATTAATACAGTATGTTCCCTAGACTATTCATTTCAATTTCGAATTTTTTAAACTGTTAAATAAACTTTATAATGAATTAGGTGAATAACAACATCATTTGATTTATAGTTATAACGGAAAATCATCGTTTGTAAAGTGGAAGGCATAGAGTCTATGTGAAATGACCATTGGTCAATTATGAAACCAGCCTATTTCATAATTTGGTTTTCTTTTAACAATAATTTTAGATTTTCTATATAATGATATTCCAGGGCCCAAAAGGTTATATAGCATAAATATGTGAAGTACACCTGCAGTATGGAAACAGTACAACAAAATGACCGGTTTACACTTTTTTCCATTAAATTCCACTCTATATATTCTATTCTCTATGGATGAGGGCCGGACGTCGACAGTTAGTATTGCTCGATTCACCAACTACATAATTTTTAAACCTTTATCATGACATAGTTTAATTCTAATAATTTCTTCAATTGCAATTATGATCATCTGCAGAAGCAGAAATTCACTAGTCCCTTTGATTTTGCATAATATCTCATTCATTCTTGATCATGTCTAAAACAGTTCACTTTGATATATATAATTCCTTTCATAAATAGATATTGAAACAAATATTAAAATACATATTTCACGTAAAGGATAAGAATAGAACTAAAATATTGGCTTCCCCAGGATAGGAATAGAACTAGATTAATAATTTCTGCAGGACAGGAATAGAAGGATAGTTTCACCAGGATTGCAATAGAACTAGAATATTAGTTTCTCCAGGACAGGAATGGAAGAATAGTTTCTCCGGGATTAGAAAAGAATTAGAAGAATAGTTTCTCCAGGATTGGAATAGAACTATAAGGATAGCTTCTCCAGAACAGGGATAAAAGAACAGTTTCTCCAGGATTGGAATAGAATTAGAGGAGTAGTTTCTCCAGAATAGGAATAGAATTATAAGAATAGCTTCTCCAGGATCGGAATAGAACTAAAAGAATAGCTTCTCCAGGATAGGAATAGAACTTTAAGAATAGCTTCTCCAAGATAGGAATAGAACTGAAAGAATAGCTTCTCCAAGATAGGAATAGAATAATAGTTTCTCTAGGACAGGAATAGAAGAATAGTTTCTCCAGGATAGGAATTATAGAACTAGAACAATAGCTTCTCCAGGATAGAAATAGAACTGAAAGAATAGCTTCTCCAGGATAGGAATAGAACTAAAAGAATAGTTTCTCCAGGATTGGAATAGAACTAAAAGAATAGTTTCTCCAGGATTGGAATAGAACTAAAAGAATAGTTTCTCCAGGATTGGAATAGAACTAGAAGAATAGTTTCTCCAGGATTGGAATAGAACTAGAAGAATAGTTTCTCCAGTCCAGGACAGAAATAGAAGAATACTTTCTCCATGGGATTGGAATAGAACTATAGAGTAATAGTTTTTCCAGGATAGGAATTATAGAACTAGATGAATAGTTTCTGCAGGATAGGAATAGAACTAGAAGAATAGTTTCTCCAGGATTAGAATAGAACTAGAAGAATAGTTTCTCTAGTAAAGGAAGAGAACTAGAAAAATAGTTTTTCCAGGACAAGAATTTGTTTACCCTAAGACAGATTAAGAATTTGTTCCTTGATCAATAGACTATATTTCAACAAAATTTTTCATGGTAAATATTAGTTTTGATATGAGCAGATTTATTTAGCTACAACAATGTAGATTTGATACCAGAACTTGCAAAAACTTGTATTGGAGCATTCATCAAAGAAATGGATTATAGATCAAAATTTTGTTTATTTCGAAAAGGCAAAAAAAAATCAAACATTTGTAATTTAAGTTGGAAATAGAATAAAAATCAAACATTTGTTGCGATCTATGGCAGGGGTGTACGAGAGCATTTGTGTAGGGGGGGGGACACTTTTTACGCTGGTCAGCGTGAAAAAAATGTTAGTGCCCCACTTGGCAACATTGTGCAACCCCCCAGTAAAAACTTTGTAAACTATTCGATCATATACACACTTCCATTATTTTAATAAATTATTTATGTATAGGGTGATTGGTGAATAGTTTAAAATGTCTTCTTCCAAATTTTGTTAAGTTATTTGATACCAAAGAATAAGAAAAATATCCCATGGCAGTCATATTATAGAAAAATCGATTTCAAAGTAAAAGACATTTTTTAACGAAATAAACTGCGAACAGTCTTTAATATCTAATACAGAATATGGAAGAAGACATTCAAAACTATTCACCAACTGTTTCGTGGGACACCCTGTTAAGTGGACTCAGCTGACACTCCCTCTTAATACTGTGGTGTAAGCTTCAAGGGATGAAAAATAGAGATTGAAACGTTTCTTTAAAAATATCTATATTTTCATAGGATTTATTATGTATAAAAATGATACCAAATCTATTTTTACCCTGAAGGCAGTATTGATTAAAGCTTTTTAATGAAACTTTTTTAGTTAAGGGCAAAAGTGAGATTTTTAAGTATTTTTTTTTTAATGTGATGTAATTATACTTAAATGCGTGATTACTGATTTCAAGTGACCCTCCATTTATAGAGTGGCATGTCCGATGTACCTTTGAAACCTTCATTTCCCTATTGTTTCTGAATCAATTGAAATGCATGAGTTATTTTTGTAAAGAAATTAACCACTAATGAAAATTATCAGTCTTCAAAATAGGAAGCATGGATATTCAGACAAAGCTTTGAAGGGTATTATTGTGAATCAGAATTGAAATTATGTTTGCAGTCACTTTAAACTTTAAAGAAATGAAAAAAAAAGAAATTTACATAATGATTTTTAAAAAAGAGGATGAAAAGCTTGAAAAGAACTGCCTCCAAAATCAAGAGTCCGAAAGTTTTATTCAACAAATCTCCATATGTAATATTAAATTAGCCCACCCCTGCGTGCCCACTGCCCCCTCCAAGGGGGGCCGTGTATCCAATTCCCTCCCTCTTGCGCCCCTGGCTCTAGGAATTGATTAAAAATTGAGAATTTGTTTCTCTGGCAATGAACTATATTTCAAAATTTTGTTCTCCAGAAATTAAACGAAGTTTTTCCAAGATAAAAATTGGATTTCAGTACTGATATATTTATCTATAATTTTACAACGTATTGTATATATATTTAATACCAGAAGAATGGATTTCTCCAAACTTGCAAAAACTCGCAGCAGCCCATAAATTAACATGGACTCCATGGACAGCCTTCTCCATTTGGGAACTAAAGCTCAGGGATTGCCGGTAGTGGAGGGATGGATATATAGGAGGGTATAAGAGGGAACAGAGGGAAAAAGAAAATGATTTGCTCTTCTTCGGTGTCGTTTCCAGGACCAATTGCTTCGTCAGTCATATTGGCATCGATTAATATGTCGTTGTCCGTTTCATTTGGGAATAGTTTCTCGTTTTCCAAACTTAGAGCTTCTAGAGCATGGTTGAAAATAGAAAAGATGTCAAATTCTTTAATTGCGGGATTTTCTTCTTTTTCATTATTCATGACTTTCTCTTCTGAATTTTCATCTACGGATTTTTCTTCGTCACTTACTATGACTTGCTCTTTCTCACCAATCATAGCTTTCTTTTCTTCCATAATAGCTTTCTCTTCATCACTTAAAATGGCTTCCTTTTCTTCTTCCATCATAGCTTTTTCTTCATCATTCAACATGGCTTTCTTTTCTTCTTCCATTATAGCTTTCTCTTCATCACTCAACATGGCTTTCTTTTCTTCTTCCATCATAGCTTTCTCTTCGTCACTCAACATGGCTTTCTTTTCTTCATCAATCAACGCTTTCTCTTCATCCTCCAATATAACTTTCTTTCCGTCATCCATCATAGCTTTTTCTTCGTTATCCATCATGGCTTTTTCTTCGTCATCGTCATCCATCATAGCTTTTTCTTCGTCATCCATTATAGCTTTTTCTTCGTCATCCATCATAGTCTTTTCTTCTTCATCCATCATAGCCTTTTCTTCTTCATCCATCATAGCCGTTTCTTCATCATCCATCATAGCCTTTTCTTCATCCTCCATCATAGCTTTTTCGTCGTCATCCATCACAGCTTTTACTTCGTCATCCATCATAGCTTTTTCTTCGTCATCCATCTTAGCCTTTACTTCATCTTCCATCATAGCATCTTTTTCTTCATCCATCTTAGCGATTTCTTCGTCATCCATCATAGCTTTTTCGTCCATTTTTGAAGGAATTGGTCCGAGCAACTTCACTCGGAGCTTGGATGGATCATCTATCTAAAATTATTAAACATAAGCTTATTAAAGCAAAATTTTAAAATTATTTAAAGTATTAGTTCAAAACTCTAAATATTGAAGGAACTAGAGGCGTAATTTCAAGTGACCTTCCATCCGAAGATGATAATGCCCGAATCCCAAGAACACAACGGCATAATTGAAACCTTTATTTGATTTGTTTAATTCTGATAATTTATATATGTTTTCATACAGTAGAAATGCGCAAGTCTGAGCCTGTTAATTCTACGTTGACTACGAGTAACTACTTAAGGCTTCAATCTCAGGGTTATTGTGAACAAAAAGAATTTTAGATTAATAATTTTAATTAACATTATTAAATTATAAACAAAATAATGTTTTTATTCAACATTAATAATTAAAAACTAAAATTTCCAATTTTCATTTCTTTCTGTGAATTATTATTCACAAGCATGTATACAAACACAATCCAATTAAATTATATCGGATGATTTTAACCAAGGTCTTAACAGAAAATTGCAACGACATAAAAACAAAACAAAAAAACACTCACTATGGATATTTGAATTATTAACTAAAAATGTTGTTAGGTTCATTAGTATAAGAGAATTTCTGGAAATTTGATGCTGCGGCCATATCAGTGCAAAGTCTGATTTGGATAAATTTATTTCTGAGGCAAATCTGTATTAGCTTTAAACAATTTTTTAACATTATTCAAACCTAACAAAAATTCTGTTATATCTCTCCTTAAAACCAATAATTAGACGCATGAACATTAACAAATTAATTTGGTTAGATAAAACAGGAACAATCAACAAAATGGAACCATTTAAAGGGAGTGACCGGCTATGTAAGGTAGTTGAACTGAGTATGCAGTAGTGTTGTGGAAAACTTCTTTCGGATTCATTTGAGACATATTGAAATATTTAAAGATCTGTAAATCCTGAGTTTGAGCGCAAATTCGACGTTCAAAACTCCTACTTTGGGGGTGGATACGTTTTCAGAATTAGTTTTTTAAAATTATTAAATAACGACGACATAAAATGTAAAAAATAATAAACTACAGACGTCATGTATAGGAATATGTTGAGAAAATAAAAATTTATCTTATCATCGAAAATAAGTAATCTTGTTCAATTATTAGTTTCTATTTTCTCATTATTCTGGTTTCTTATTATTCACAAAGATTTTCTGCAGATTTTCTAGAATTGTTATTGAAAAGACGACATTTGAAGAATTTGAAGAAATCTGCGAAAAAATTCAAAGAAAATAAGAAATTCAATATAAAAATGAAAACGAAATAATCAATTTTAGCATTGATTTAATGACAATTTTTTTTTTTTGAGAAATATGTTCCTAACCATCTAATTAGATTACTGTACGTATAATTTTTACTTTATTTTTCGTTGTCGTTATTTAATCATTAAAAAAAAACTAATACTGAAGACGTATCCACCCCCAAAATAAGAAATAAAAACTTCTTCAGAAACAAACTGTTCACGGTCTTAAATATGTAGAATAAAGGAGGGGAAGCTCTAAAAATCTAAATTGTCCCTTGGGTATACTGTGAGAGTTTTAAGAAGAATTTTCTATGACTTAAATCAACCTTGAAGCAATGGAGGGAGGGGGTTTTAATAAAAATGTGATTATACCTTGCGACTGCCTACAAAAGTGAGGCCAAATAGACAGACCAACAAAATTGGAGATTTCATCGCGCGCAGGTTTCTGTTAACTAACTACAAAACCAACCACTCTTTAGTATTTAAACAGCACAGCGGTCAACTGGCCAGATCAGGTGATAAAATGCGCCTCGGAAATTCTTATGCGGAGGGNGGGGTAAGACGCAGGAATTATTAAGAATCAGAGCCATATATGTATTGAGCGTTTACAAAAATTTGAGTCGCAGGGTGTCCCACGTGTTAGATCGGGTAAATTACGATTTTGGGACAGATTCCTAGATCTAATTATTTTTAGGTTGGCATGAGAATCTTATTCTTTGAAGGTTTGGGTATAAACCCTTTATTCTTAACTCGTACATTATTTATTTCATTTCATCGTTGTGTAATTTTATTGCAAAACTTAACAATTTTCATATTAAATTTCTGCATATTCCAAAGTAAATATATATGGTTAGATAATTAATTTAGAAATATCTAGAGTAAAATAATTGTTATGTTAAATCACCGAAACAAGTTCACCATAATTTTATAAACATTTTTACAGTTGGATCAAATCATACTTTCCAGTTTTTGAAAGAAAAATTGACAGTTTACAAAAATGCTCTTTTTAAAATAATTTTACCATGAATTTTCCTGACATTTTCCATATTATTTTAGGGACTGTAGAGTGTGTGCATAATTCTTTCATTTATAACGTAGCATTTTTCATTGTAGATGTTTATTGTCAGAATTAGACCAAAAAACGATATCTTTCAAATTATTGATCAGATACAAGATAGAGCACCGTTGTGAATCGACACTGCCCGTGAAGGGTCCCTTGGAATCACAACATATGTCCCTTAAAGGTGTAAAAAGTGTTACAAACCTTCAGGAAAAACAGTGGAAGCAGAATGAAAAATATCGATACAAATTTCTAGAATGAATATTCGTCTAAGTACATATAACTGGTTAAGCTCCTCTTACATATGATAAAATAACTGAACCCAAGCTAAATTATATAATGCCTAGTGCCTACATCTATCACAAAAGCCTTTGTCCCCACACATAATGATTTGCAAACAGAAGGGAACATAGGTTTAACTGAGCTAAAGGCTTGGCTGCATAAAGCTAAAAATATCATATGAAATATTTACAAAATATTTACATAAATAATTGCTAAGATTTACTAAGCAAAAACATTAAAATTTTCTAAATAATTAATAATCATACTAACAAAACTACCAAGAGACACAGAAACAAATGTCTTCTTAAATTCGAAAACGTTGTTTTTGCGGATTTCTTCACAACAACCCGCCTTTTCTGCCGAAGAACATGTTTGTTAAAGTTCCGACAAAACTCTCGCTTCGAGGTAGTGAAAACTCTTCCGAGGTCACGTTTAGGTCAAGGTCGAAGCTGGAGGCTCCCGGGATAGTCCCGAGGTCACGACGAGGTCCAACTGCTTGACCAACAGCTCCTGTACCAGCATGTCCTGGGACTCCCAACCCTGCGGGATCAAAATCCAATCTCAAGACGGAAACTTGGAAAGAAATAATAATAATAAAATTAAAAATGTTTAGCATGTCATATCAGACATTTAAGGACGTCCTATTACCAACTTTAAAGCTAAAAGAGACTGTACGCGTACTTTCAAGTGACCCTCCATGCAAAGATGGCAATGCCCGATTTACCATTGAAAGCTTTGTCTGATCAAGTATGATCCATGTTTTTGTTTACTTTAAACGTGTATTTTCATTTGCGTAACTTGTAAGTTACTGGCACATTCTTTGTTTATAAGAAGAAATGGAGAAACACATGACGAGTAAAAAAAAACTACGGTACCTTTCTCATTTTTTATCAGATTAAGGTTTTAAGGGCACCATTGCAAATCGGACATTGCCATCTTTGCATGGAGTCACTTGAAATTACGCTTACACACCCTTTAAGGGTTACTTATAAATAGGTCCCGTAAAGGGATTTTTCGTAAAAAATGTTAAGATGTATTGACAGAATCCGAAATAAATCCGAAATCGATCGCTGCCAAGTTTATTTCTATCTATAAAAGAGTTAAAATCGTTTCAGTTTTATTTAACATTCAAAGGTTTTTAGGTGTTAAGTCTTTTATTGATTAGCTATAAGACCTGATTTTAAAATATTGAGATTGAATTCCCTGAAAAGTTGTGTGGTCGTCTTTCCCCCGGAGAAACAATTCTGCCCGGCCCCCGTCCTCCCATAGCATACAGGCCGGCTGGAACCTTTAGCTTATTAGAACCCTAAAAAAGGTATTTATCTAGAAATAAGATTTAAAGGAAGGATATCAAGAAAGCGCATTCAGGTCGCACAAGCTGAAGGCGCAAACAGTTTAACCCAGAACTTTGGAAAAATGGAAAAAATTTATCAAATCCCGTCTTCTAAACCTACAGATAACGGAATGCTGCAGATATTTAGTTTTTAATTGAATAATTGAATGGATTTCTTTAGAACTCTTCCTGCATATTTCATGCACTATTTATTTATTTTGACAAATAATAAGATTTATGTATATTGGTATAAGTTCCATTAAAAAAGACGACATTATGTAAATTCTTTCGATGACTCCGAAGTCCAGAGAGGAACTGCACCAATAGCTGGGATACTTTAAGAACCAATAGCTGGGATACTTTAGGAACCAATACCTGGGATACTTTAAGAACCAATACCTGGGATACTTTAGGAAACAATATCTGGGATACTTTAGGAAACAATACCTGGGATACTTTAGGAAACAATACCTGGGATACTTTAGGAACCAATATCTGTGATACTTTAGGAACCAATACCTGGGATACTTTAGGAACCAATGCCTGGGATACTTTGGAAACCAATAACTAGTATACTTTAGGAACCAATACCTGGGATACTTTAGGAACCAATACCTGGGATACTTTAGGAACCAATAATTGGCATACTTTAGAAACCAATACCTGGGATACTTTAGGAACCAATACCTGGTATACTTTAGGAACCAATACCTGTGATACTTTAGGAACCAATAACTGGAATACTTTAGGAACCAATACCTGGGATACCTTAGGAATCAATACCTGGGACGCTTTGGGTACACTTCCTAAGGTTTTCTTCTCTAGTCCTGGTCTCCCTGTCACAGTTAAAGAAGGTACGGTGAGTTGACCGATCCAAGCTGCTGTGTAGTCTTCAGTACTCTTCCAGCCATCTAGATATTCAAACAAATGTTAAGGGACTTTGACATCATCACTAGTGACCCGACATTTAGAGAGTAGCATGTTCGATTCACAATTGGTAGCTTTTAAACCTTTGTCTGATCAAGAAGTCATGATATATCCAATATACATCATCTTCTTTCTTTAAATACAAACTTAAAAATGGAAGAATTCATGTTTAATGTAAACAAAGTCCTACCTGAATTAGATAAGGTTAAGCACCCAGGTTCGATATCCTCCAATTCGTCAAAATCGTCTAGAGCGCCGAGATAGCGCGCATCAAAATCAGAGAGAATTGGAGGTTTAGATTCTTTCTTCTTAGTTGGCTCCTCTCCCCTTACAATGGATAAGGAAGGAAGGGAACCTAGAATACGGGAAATATTTTGTTTTGTTATGTAATTTAAAAACATAAAATCCTTAACCCCTGCCCCTGTCCCCCCCCCCCCCTCATCTCCGTGCGATATTTTATCTGCTCAAGTTAATTAGCTTAGGAGTATTTGACTGGGGGGAGGGGGGGGCGTTTGACAACCTTCCCCTACATTTTTTCGGACTAGCACTCACATTTTTGACAATATCACCATGAAATTTATTGACTTTTGAAGAAAAGTAATTCAATGGAATTTTCGCAATTTTTTTTTATGCATAGGGTAGGAGGACGGTAAAAAAGATCGGTCGGTGTTTAAAAAAAACCTAAACAAGCACAGACAAGCTATGTAGACATGTGTCCCATATTAACATTTGTGAGAAACAAAAACAAATATTTTTCACAATTTCCTACGTCTGTGTTGACATTTTTTTCAAACCTTACTAGCGCTTATACAGGAACTGTGAAGATTTTTTCCAATAAGCTGGCTTTGTAAAATAAATATAAACATGCAAAGCAACCCTTTATCTATAACTCTGAGGCCTTTTTCTAGGGAGGGGGGGGGGGGGGTAGGACGATTTAAGCCCTTTTCCCCGGATGAACAATGACTGTTATGAAAATTCTGTTTAACAACTTTGTCTACCTGGTGTTGATTCTCTGTCTGAGAGTAGATGATCTACTCCAGCCTCCTCTACAGCCTCCATTATACCTAGCTTTACCCTCTTAGCCTCCATTTTTCTTTTGTGCCTACAAGAAAAATATTTAGCTATTTCATCTATTTTATTTATTTCATCTATTTCCAATTCCTTTCTTTAAGTTCTTAGCTTTATAACTGATACTGTAGACGTAATTTCAAGTGTACCCTCCATTGGTCGTGTAGCATGTCCAACTTACAACCGTACCCTTTCAACACTTGATCTGATGAATACTGTATCAAATATTGTCATTGATCTAGCTGAAAAGTATTCAATTCTGACAATTTTCTCAAATGTTTTTTTCAAGAAGAATTCCGCAATTCATGATAAAAAAGAAGCAAAAATAGATCTCGTTTAAGCTTTAAAGGGTACCGTTGCAAATCGAAAATGCCTCTTAAGTTAAAGGTTCACTAGAAAATACGTCCGAGTTCCTTGAAAAAAAAATAAAAAAAAATCAATAAAATTTGCAAAATAAACTTCTCAGTATTTATAATTCTAACCTATGCGTTCTTTCTTCTTTTTTTTGTTCTCCGTAGAGTGCAGTTTTCAGGGACGAGAAGAAACTGTACACCAACCCCGTAGAGTCTTCATCCGGGGAACCTTAGCAATATAAACTATATACCAACCCCGTAGAGTCTTCATCCGCAGAACCTATGAGTAAAACTGTACACCAATCCCGAAGAGTAAAAAAAACATAAGATCCGGATCCATTGGTTCCGCATCATTGTGACTTCTGGATCTGGATCCGGATCCACGGATGCGGATCCAAGGGGGAAAATATCAACGAAAACTGTGAAAAATCTGTTTGCTCTCAAATCCCAAAAAGAGAGGTTATGAAAGAATTCTTTATTTCTGAATGGTTCAAGTTTTACCACACAAAAAAAAGATAAATGATTTGAAAATTCTTCTTTTTAACAAAAAATCTGAAAATTTTAAAGAAATGTTCAGGACATGGATCTGCATCAAAATGAAATGGATCCTAAGCACTGTCAAAACCTTAAACGCTTACCTGGTAAATTTTCCTCTGGAGTATGGGGTGGAGTACATGTTGGAGACAGGTTTCTTGAACTAGTTGGAGAGTTGAGTACACTTGGAGTTAAACTTGAAGATAAGTCCAGCTGAGATCTACGTACTCCTAGTAAATAGTGACCTTTTAATCAGTAAGCACTAAGATCATTTTTTACGTTTTTTGGTTAAATTACATAAATCTACACTGAGGAAAGGTCAAAAGTTGTGTGTCAAAAAGTGCCTCTAAAGCTTGATCTCGGTACCCAATATGACAACTTTTGATTTGTTACCCTATATCCTGAAATTTTAGTTATCCCTCTCATGAGTTCAAACAACAGGAACTAATTCAGTACTTGCAGGGGTCAAAAGATACAGATAACCGCTTGATCTTAGTATTCACAACTTGAAATTTGACCTCGGGAGTAACCTCCGGAGTAACCTCTGGAGTAACCTCCGGAGTAACGGCCCATTTTTTTAAAATCTTTTTGTTTGTTTATTTTCTTGTGGGTTTTAACATTTTTTATGATCGATTTTGATGTTTATTATATCGTTTTACCTGACGAGGGTCAACCTGGACCGAAATATAATTTCAATAAAATGTGAAACTAACATCTACTTTTTTATTTTACAGAGGTTTGGTCCATCACCATCACAAAATTTTAAATTTTTTTCAATTGTTTGATTTTTATTTAGAAAATCTTATCAAAGGGACGTAAGTGGCATGTCTGTTTGACAACGACGACCTTAAATCTTTTCCTGAATAAGATTCATCTTTATTTTTCTAGTTAAATATTGAAAATATCAATTAAAGGGTTATCTTGACTTTTATTTCTAAAATAATTTTGTTTACAAATTATAAATGTCTGCGTAAATCTGATATTTTCCTCAGCTCTGGTTGAGAATCCTGACTAACCCTAGATCTGAGGAGACAGAATAGATCCCTGTCCTACCCCATGGTTCACATACTAACCTGATATCTTCCTCTGGTTGAGTATCCTGACTAACCCTAGATCTGAGGAGACAGAATACAACCCTGTCCTACTCTCTGGTTCACAAACTAACCTGATATCTTCCTCTGTTTGAGTATCCTGACTAACCCTAGATCTGAGGAGACAGAATACAATCCTGTCCTACTCTCTGGTTCACAAACTAACCTGATATCTTCCTCTGGTTGAGTATCCTGGCTAACCCTAGATCTGAGGAGACAGAATACAACCCTGTCCTACTCCCTGGTTCACAAACTGAGTTACTCCTCGTACTCATTCGGGAGGTAGGTCTAAACATATATTTGTATACAAATTTGAAAATTTGGGTGAACATCCCGGAAATAATAAAAAAATTCAATTTTCTTAATCTTAAAAAACCCTCCTAATTGGCAAATTTTTTAATTGTGCACATTAACAAAAAATATATAAATAATGTCTTTAATTAATAAGAAGTCTTGAACAATAAAAACAGAAAGTTATTAGATAAGATAAGATAAGAAAAAGAGAGATATTTAAGATTGGGAGAAATCTATGAAAAGTCATCCAAATCAGAGAATCAAACCTAATAATGTCTAATTTATAGAAGAGGGAGAGGGTAAAGGATTTTTCAAGTAAATATACATGACAGGTAAACTGTACCTGCTGTTATCCCTGGTATTAAATCCTGATGATATCTGCGTCGAGTAGGATGAGGAGAGTATAGTGGTGTCAGGGTGGAGAACTGTACTATTTGTCAACGTGTTGTAAGTTCTAAATAATATTAAAACTTAAAACTTTTCTAAATTTATTGAGTGGACACAAAATGGAAGAAATAGAAATAAAAGAGGAATAAAAATTTTAGGGATTGTCTTATGATATGTTGAACCTCGAACAATAAGGAAGATATTTATCTCTCTTGAAAATGGACAAAATTTTGTCTATTCCCTTCCTTCTCTCTGATGCAAGTCCCTTTTCAAAAGAAACCCCACTGAATAAACAATCTTTTTAAAGAAAAACAAGAATATCTTCATTATTTTTTTAAGACATTGTGTGTTCCCTTTATAGTTTATAGCCTTTCAAAGAGGGGGGTACCTTGTGTTTTCTCTCACACTGGGGGGCATCATTTCTCCATCCTTCTCCTCTTCATCCTCTTCTAGTCTATACAGGTCAACCAGGGGGGCCAGTCCAACCTTAGGGTTACCCTGGAATATATATTTCTAGTCTCTACCCTGGATTATTTTATTTTGTTCTCAATTCTAAAACCGTTCCGTCCTATTTCAGTCATTTTGTCCCGTCCTTTCGGGTCCTCTCCGTCATTTCTTATCCTATAACGTCCTTTAACTGTCTTGTTTTTTCCCATTCAGTCCCGTCCTTTTAGCCCGTATCCTATCCGTAATTTAATGCATTCTCCATTTCCATGCATATATTTTCATTAAAAAGCCTGTTCGCGTAATTTCATGAGACCCTCCATGAAAGGATGGCAATTCTGCCCAATTTACAAGAGTACATTTGAAACCTTTATCTCATCAATAATGTGGAAGATACTTTCGTTATTCTAAATTTTAAAGAGAAACAACAATCGAAAATAACCATTTTTCAAAATTAAAAACATTGATATCCATGGGACACAGCTTTTAAGAGTACCGTTGTAAATCGGACATTGCCATCTTTGCATTGAGGGTCACTGGAAATCACGCGAACAGTCCCTTTTAAAAAAAATTATACCTTGATAGCTACTCCCAACCTCTCCTCTAGAACGCCCCCTAGATGAGGCGTGGCCAGCCTACTCCAATGGTGAAGGGTGAGAGATCCCTCCAGAGGTTTAATTATTCTCAGTTTATCCGGTAATCTATGGATCCGTCCGCTCAACGAGCTATTCGAGTTCCTGGACCAAGAGACATATATTTTTTAAGAAATGTTTTATGGAGGTAGGGGGGAGGGGAGGGCACCAACGTTCTTAGAAACTTAAAACTCAAAAAAAAAAAATTTCCCGACTTAAGCATTAAAAACTTTGAAAAATTTCCTTTTAACAACAAAAAAACATCAACTTGCAAGTTATCCACCTTCATCTAAATACTTTTAGAGAAAAAACTAATGGAAAAATAAGAATGGAAAAGGAAAAAAAAGATTCTATTAAAAAAATGCCGGAAATGAAACTTTCAGTGTATTCTAACCAAAAAGCTTACATATTTACTATTAAAATCTGGGGGATTATAATGAGCAATAAACCCCTTAAAAACAAGGGGGTGGAGGGTGATATTTGAAGAGGGTGAGAGGGGAAATTATCTTCAACAAAAAATGTACCCTTGCCTAGATCTAATTGACTCCTGAGTATAGAATACTCCTTTCTGCTCTCTACTCCGTGGATCCGAGACCTCTAAGGCGTAGCGTGGATTGAAGACCTCAACGCCGTAGGGTAGGATTTCTTCTTCCGTCTCAAAACCAGCAATCTCACTATCTCCGGCACACTCCGCAACATCAAAACTGAACGAATGTACTATTCACTCATAATACGAAACGAAAACATCATTTAAGGGATTGTGTGCTCCAGAAGGATTGGAAAATCTTTAATATCCTTTATAAAACTAGATTTTATTTAAACTCTTCAAAAACAAATTTGTTTCCACTTAAAAAAAAGAATGGGGGGGGGGAAAGCAATAAGAGGAGGATGTAAAAACAGACCTAGTATTATTAGATAGAAGTCTCCTCCTTCTCTCCACCTCCTTGAGGTTGAGATGTCGGAGGGTAGATGCCAGCTCCTCCGGTACTCCGGGCCTATCGGAGATCTGAATACCAGGATAGGTTCCCATCTCACAGAAACCTCCGTCTGACAGAGCATCTATATCCGGCATACCTGACAATTAGAATATTGTAAACACGAAATTCAGTCTTTCTCTATGCAAAGATAGTAATCACCAATCTATAACAGTCAAGTCAATTTAGCCGAGAAACCATAAAGAAAATTAATAGTTTACAAAAACATCGACATCATACAAACAGACAAAGCGTTTATGGGTGCCGTTGTAAATTAGACATTGCCATCCTTAAATAAATAAATAAATAAATAAATGAATGAATAAATAAATGAATAAATAAATAAAAAATAAACATAGAGGGTCGCTTTATAAATTTTACAGTTCATTTGACGTGAAAATGGAGAAAGCAATAAATATTACCAAACTCATAAATCTTTTTTTGCATAACTCTCAGTCTCACCTAGATCCTGTCTTTGTGCTGCAGATAGATCCTCTGTATAATCTCCGCTGGTCACTCCGCTATCCGGGATCCGGGCATTGGATCCGGATCCTCGAGTCTGTAATCCAGCTGCCGGTGTCCTAAAAGTAGTAAATCATAACAATTGAAGAAGTAATAAAAGGATCAAAACCGTTCCAAAGTAAACAAATTCACAACTCTTAAGTAAAAAAACGTTTCTTTTAATCGTTCGGAACGGATTAAAAAGTTTTTGCGGCGTACAGTGAAAACCATAAAACTGTGGAATAAGAGGACGCCTTTTAGACCCAAATTATGATTTTCCGATAAACATTGAATATCCTTCAAGATTGCTCAAATGTCGTCTTACTATTCCACTGTTTTCTGGTCCATGCACTGTATGAAAAAGTTGTCTAACCGACCTGTCCGCTTGTAAATGTAGACTCTGGACTCCTGAGCTTCGTAGATCACTGAAACTCCATTCCTCCGGGTCAAAGGTTGATATCCCGGATATGTTATCCGTAGAATATAACCCGGAAATACCGGATCCGGTTCTGTCCCCTCCAACTATCTGACAATCTATCCGTCTAAAAAAAAAATAATAAAGCAGATAAAAAATAAACAACAAAATAAAATAAAAAATCATTTTAAATTCCTCCTCCTTGTAAAAAATAAAGGAAAATAGGCTAAAATAGATTTGAGTTTTATATTGTGTTTGCTTATTTGTAATATCTCATGCTTTGTAGTTGAATAAATATATGAATATGAATATATTATTCGATATCAGATCAAAGAACCCTGTACTTTTCATTTTCGCGTACACTTTCTTAAAATACCCAATTTCTTTATTTCAGTTTCTTTATTTCAATTTCTCTATATCTACCTGGATAGACTTGTAGAAGTGAGAGAGAAGGATTGGATGGGTTCAGTTTCATCCTCACTCATCAGATCTGATATTGAGCCCAGCTCAGACAGATCAAACTCCAGGTCCTGGTGAAGAGAACTCTCCTCCCATGCTCTAGAGTGCCCGGAGAAAGGAGAACCCGAACCTCCTTGTCCTATAATTATCAAGATTACTTTTTTGTACTAAAATAAAAATAGACATGGACCGTGAAAATCCACTTTTTAAAAAACTTGAATTATAAAACGTAACACAATAATAAGCGTAATTTCTAGGGGCCCTCCATGAAAAATGGCAAAGTCACCTTTAACAACATCACCATTAAGCCTTCACGGTTCAAAAATAACGCTTACAGTCCCTTTAAGAAATTTAACAAAAACAATTGGTAAATTTTATATATATAATATAGGTTAGATAAGAACCTAACAGGTCATCCTTCAATCCGAAAAGAGTAAAAAGAGGGCGTTTAAGCTAGATTTTAGTAATGATAGGAAAAACAAACATACCTAGAGACATTCGAGACATTCCACTGTGCCCTGCTCTGGATGATACAGGAGGTTGTCCCAGCCGTCCTAAACTCTGATTGGGTAGAGAGGAGAGGGTGAGAGGTTGATCCGCACATGAACTGGTTTCATCAAACCCTCTGGAACTCAAGTTGTAAGGATCACTAGGAACTTGGCCAAGACCGGATGGAACTTGGCAAAAACCGGATGGAACTTGGCCAAGACCAGATGGAACTTGACCAAAACCGGATGGAACTTGGCCAAAGTCGGATGGAGCTTGACCAAAGCCAGATGGAAGTTTATCCAAACCGGAGCCCTGAACAGATAAAAAAACATTTAATCCCGTAATTTTAAAAATCAAAAGTCTAAATTACAGTTTATCAGCTGATTACTAAGAACAAAAACTAAGAAAAGTTTCGTGCTTAGTTTTAAGAATTGATGGTGATGACATGTATTTAATCCAAGCTTGGACTCAGTGCCAATGATATTTTAGAAGCGCTGAGAAATCTGTCAATTCTTGAAACAAGACGGTTTAATTACTCCAAGAAGATGGAAACACCGTGAACAGTTCAGAGAATTGAAAAGGAAAACCAAGAAAATTTGAAATAAAGAGGAATCTGGAAACAGTGCGTTTCGGCGTAAGGATATTAAAGGGGTAGGTATTTTCTGAACTCCCCGCCCCCCACCTACCAAGCAAAGTCAGTCAATTATTTATTTGTAATAAATAATCCTTTGTAGAACAGGGTATTTCAACTTCATTTGATCTTGCATATGATAATTCCTTCAAAAAATGAATTTAAGAAACATTTTCTTCTAGGGAAAATGAACACGTGTCACACACTTCATTTTCCCACCCTAATATATTTGCAACCTGATTTAGAAGACCTCTGACATTTCAAACTATGAATACTTATTGCTTTTAGTTTGAAATATAAAAGTTTACGCCATGCATCTGAAAAGATGTAGGGATTCGAAAATTGGGATTTTAGGTCAGTATTCAACCCCCCCCCCCCACTATTTGTATAAAAGGGGTTTAAGGGGTGGGAGACTTACAATTAATACAAGGACCATTTGCAGGCAATGGGGGATTTACAAATAAGAATTTGAGGCTAGTATTTAAATCAAATCTATGTAAACATTATTTTGTTACTTTCATTTACCTGTGTGTTAGTGAGTTGACCCAGCGGTTCAGTTTCGTCAAAATCTGAGGATTCTCGATGGGAAGTCGTCTCAATCTTCTCACTGAATCGTCGGCCGGGAATTGTTCCCAGGGCAGGATGTCCTCCAGCAACTGGGGCATCAAACCCTCCCCCGCCTCCAGAGGGTGTGGCAGGCAAGGATCCACCCACTTTCCCCTGAGTGCTGCCTGGGACAGAGCCAAGGGGCGTTGATTGGAGGAGGGAGGAGCTGAGATGGAAGGAAGGAGGGCGGAGAACTCCTTCAAGAAAAAAAAGTTCCAATAAAAATTTGAAAATAAAACTGAACGATTATCTTCGTGAAAAGTAAACTTACGATTACACCTCGTAGATTTATTTTTCAGAAATAGGTGTGAATCCTTGTAGCATTTACTTAACTACAGGGTCCCTTTGGATTCAAATCAAATTAGGTGTTTAGGAGCGTGGAATGAAGTTAGGACTTATAGCTTGCACTCTTGTCCATTTTAAATTTTAATTGCAATTGCAAAACAACCGGTTCTAAGCCCAACCTCTGACTTACCTACAGTTTGAACCTCAATAACTTCAACATTCTGATCTTGAGGCCGGTCTTCGTAGGGAACAAATCCATGCTGAGGCCGTGGGAGGGGCAAATACATCTCTCCCGGTCGTGACGGAGGTCGTGAGGATGTCCCCGACATATATCCAGGGAGAGGGAAGTCACTAAGGCTGGAGTGAGGCCGGGTGGAGGTCAAGGTGGAGGTTAGGCTGACCTCAGGACCTAGGGCCTGCTGGAGCTCATGACCGAGGTCAAATTCTGGCACCGGGTATTGACTAGACTGTAATCTGATAAAATATAAATAGTAAAAATCTCTGGAACTTATTTTCAGTTTGATAATATATTTATTAGATATTTCTGAAATTTTTATTATGAGTTAATTAATTAAAATAAATAATATTAAAATCATTTTTGATTTTTTTCAATACAATTTTTTTTGACTTGTGCATTCGGAATCTTGCAGCGCGCGGTATATATTTTAAAAAATCAAGAAGCACTGATAGGTTTTTATGGCTAATTTGGGAAAATAAATAAATTGTCTGGTTTTTTAACCTACGAAACTCTTTTTTTTGAATATATATATTCCTGGTTTAAATAGAGATGGGCATTGTTGTTCTCCGTTTTTTAACATTCGGGATTTATAGGCTTTCAGAGTTGAAAACTTTAGAATGGTGGATATCGAGATCAAAGCTTGATCTCCTCTTTTTCTTAATCTCCAGATTAAATATTGCTTGTTCTCCTCTTGTTATTAATCTCCAGTTTAATTAACAGATCGGGATTAGGGATATCCCATTCTAAAGTTTTCAGCTCAGGAGACGGCAAACAATCTGAGAAGTAACGTGTTTCAAAATTGTATTCTCTAAAGGTTTGCTTTTATTGAACAATCTTGATTCAGACAGAAATATACGCTTAGACGATTTTTCATGATTTTGCTTCGTTCAGAGTCAAAATTTTGCATATTTTACAATAGAATAAAATTTTGAATTACATACGAGTTTGTAGATTTTTCTTTTAAGACTCCTTCAAGCAATAATCCTATAAGTTCTAAACGGATAATAACGCTGTCCAACTCTACAGGATGTTTTTATAAAGGGTTCTTTTATTAAAAAGAATACCCTGTATGTGTAATGCGTACCTGACATTTCTGTACTCCGTCCATGTCCAGAATCATCAGAGGCCTCAATATCATCATAAAGCTTCTTTCCAGCAAACTCAAACTCTTCAAAATCAGGGGAAAAACTGTTCTCCCTGAACATTTTATAATTGTAAAAAACTTTCTTCATGACAGTTTGTATTGTTTAAAATTCTACGAACTTTATTTGTTGCAGGAAAAAGTTGTAGTGTCAAAAAAATTTACTCAAAATTGGAATTCCATAACTTTTAAAAGTTGAAACCAGGGGAAAATGTTTTTCCTTTAAAGAGAGGAAAAATTCAAACTACTTAAAAAACGTTTCTTCATAAAAATTTTAAATAGCTAGAATTTATGATCGGTATGAATAAATGTTACTTTAAAATGTATTATTTCACATTGAAAACTGAGCATTAAACAACAAGAAATTCTGCGAAAAGTTTTTGATTTTTTAATGTAAGGAAAAAAATGCCTGCACTGAAGAGGCTGATCACTTTTAACTTAATATTCCATATAAAATTAATAAACTAATATTATTATCATTAATATTAATAATAATATTAAATTGAAGGGTTTAAATTTAAATCTGTAGACAATAGACATACTGGAGTTCCACAGAACAATAATTAAGAAAAAAGTTAACCAATGAGGTGAAGGCGCTGAAGTAGAGATTTTAACACCTGGATATTGTGTAGGACTAAAGAGCAGACTTAACGCTGGATATTCCAATGTTTAACACCTGGATATAGTGTAGGACTAAAGAGCAGACTTAACGCTGAATATTCCTATGCCTAATACCTAGATATAGTGTAGGACTAAAGAGCAGACTTAACGCTGGATATTCCAATGTCTAATACCTAGATATAGTGTAGGACTAAAGAGCAGACCTAACGCTGAATATTCCAATGTCTAACACCTGGGTATAGTGTAGGACTAAAGAGCAGACCTAACGCTGAATATTCCAATGTCTAACACCTGGGTATAGTGTAGGACTAAAGAGCAGACCTAACGCTGGATATTCCAATGTCTAACACCTGGGTATAGTGTAGGACTAAAGAGCAGACCTAACGCTGAATATTCCAATGTCTAACACCTGGGTATAGTGTAGGACTAAAGAGCAGACCTAACGCTGGATATTCCAATGTCTAATACCTAGATATAGTGTAGGACTGAAAGGCGGACTTAACGCTTGATATTCCTATGCCTAATACCTAGATATAGTGTAGGACTGAAAAGCGGACTTAACGCTGGATATTCCTATGCCTAATACCTGGATATAGTGTAGGACTGAAAGGCGGACTTAACGCTGGATATTCCAATGTCTAATACCTGGATATAGTGTAGGACTGAAAGGCGGACTTAACGCTGGATATTCCTATGCCTAATACCTGGATATTGTGTAGGTCTGAAAGGCGGACTTAATGCTTGATATTCCTATGCCTAATACCTGGATATTGTGTAGGACTGAAAGGCGGACTTAACGCTGGATTTACTTGAACTCATCTCCTTATCCTTCTTCACTTGTCCTCGTGCAATAGCTTTGTACGTTCTCGCGGCTTTCCTGGTAACAAAATAATAGAAATGAATGAACACACCTCAACTCTAATACAAGGGTGTATATTTTTAAGAATTACCCCCATTTTGCTGAATTAAAGCAAACGATGTTCAGTGGAAAATAGCAGAATTCTGAATTTTTTAAAGAAATTTATGATGATTTAGGATGTAAAAACTTTAATGTCCAATTTCTAATTTTCCTCCCCAATTGATCAAAATTAAATTTTCTAATTCCTAAAATTTTACACCCCTGTATTCTACTGCAGGTCAAGTATTATATATACCTGTATGCTGATGACCCATGGATAGGAATATCTGATTCACTATCTGATATCTCGGAATCCACCTTGGACATGTTCCTAGAGCTCTTCTTACAGCTGAGGGAGGAGTTTATTTCAGCAGCCAGAGAGTCAGGACCTGAGCCACCTCCACCTATGAATTTAACAGTTAAAATTTACACCAGGGCCGTAACTGGGAGATCCAATTTTTTTGTAAAAGAAGCGCTTTTTTGTTGTGTAAGAGGGCTTTGCCCCTCCCCTTTCAAAAACTTTCACGGGCCTAACTTTTATACCAAGGACAAATTTCAATGACGCCTGAGAAGTATTTAAACTAAGTAGAATAAGTTAAACCACTTCTCTTTCAAAAAAAAAATGGTTTAACTTATTACAAACAGTTCTGCTACTTCGTAACATTCATTAAATTTGTTAACAGGGATCAAATTTAATGAATTTGAGCTACGACGCGACGCTGAACAACCAACCACCGGTTCAAATTTAAAGCACCGATTCAAAGTTTAAGATTTGTTACCAGTTCATTTCATTAAATTTGTCCCAAGAGAAATTCCGCCTCGGGATCTGCAGAGTCTGACTTGGTTAAAATTCAGAATCATTCAAAAGCCAAAAAAGGAAGTGAAAATCTTTGTAGAGTGAAGAACATAGTACTTATAATATTGATAGTGTTTATTTATATTATGTTTTTTATGATAAATCCACGAATAAACTTATTATTTAGAATATAATTATTAATCAATCTTATATTTAATTTTATGATAAAATCTACGAATTAACAAATCATTTAGAATAAAATTAATAATTATTAATCTAACTTTTATTTAAAACCTTCTGGTTGTCTTTGATGGGTGAAAATTCCAGACCAGACTTGATCAATAAATCATTAAAACAATAAATAATAATATTGCGTGACAACAAATGTGCTGAATAAAAAAATATTGTTAGTCAGAGGATCATGCATTCCTCAAGGACAGTGAAATAGCACAAGGTAAAAAAAAGTGTTACATTTAAAGAATTTGAGCCAGGTCTATAACTAACTAAACTGCTTTCCTCCGGTTATAATTTGAATGCAAATCCTTCTTTAATTTTTTAATTTTGAATCAGAGGTTCAAATTTGAACCAGCGAACGGTAGTGACGCAGCTCAGATTAATTAAATTCGGTCTCAATTTTGGGTGTAAAAAAAAACATTTCTTTCTCATTCAAGTCTTGTCTTGTATCTGAGCTGGGAACTTAACTATTGTATTTTGGATATAGAGTGAGATCAATGCTTGATCTCGATTTTAATCTTTTGCTAATCTGCAGATTAATTTAATCTTCATTTAAAATACCAAGTGTAAATCGAAAGTTTCCAGCTTTAAACAAGAAAAAAATTATGATGGTTTGCCAAAAGAATTATTTTCCAAAGTGTAAGATATATTTTGCAACTTATTTAAACTCTAAATTCTAATTTTTCTTTATTTTTTAGTAAAAATCAATTCTTTTTGGACCTCTCCCGCCTCTCTCATTCTTTTTGAGCCGCTCCCACCTCTCCCATTCTTTTTGAACCTCTCCCACCTCTCTCATTCTTTTTGGACCTCTCCCCCCTCTCTCATTCTTTTTGAACCTCTCCCCCCTCTCTCATTCTTTTTGGACCTCTCCCCCCTCTCTCATTCTTTTTGAACCTCTCCCCCTCCTCTCATTCTTTTTGGACCTCTCCCCCCTCTCTCATTCTTTTTGAACCTCTCNTCTTTTTGGACCTCTCCCCCTCTCTCATTCTTTTTGGACCTCTTCCCCCCTCTCTCATTCTTTTGCTTCTTTACCCCGTTTATTATTTTTTTTATTTTTTCCACCCCCATCCCTTCCAACCCACTGAGTGGCCAGAAAAAAGGATTTACCTCCCTGTATTTCTGAGGATTTAAACATGTTCTATATTTTCACCTGAAGGTATAATAGGAAGAGAAAACATCCCTGAGACTGAATGTTTACCGATCCCTGGATAAAGGGGTTCATCTAGCACATTTTGGAATTAGAAAGATAAACAGACCATGCTAAGCAATTTAACAGGTGGCAGTTTACTAGACTACGAAATTATTTCGTGGCGATTTCTTAGACGTAACTAAATAAATTGTCAAGCATATAAGGCAGATCTTAATTAAGATAATATTTGTGGCCAATTTTATAAACAATAATACTATTTATTGACTCAGCTAATATTTGTGGAACATTTTTGGATTCAAATAATTTTCGTGGAAGATTTTTTGGATTCAAATGCTATTTGTGGCAGTTTTTACGGACTTTTAAGTTTAAAGTTTTTTAAACTAAGAAACTATTTGTTTTTTAGTGCAGCCTTTTCGGGTGCACATTGTACAATATTGACCCTGATAAGTCCCAGATGAACCCCCGCCTGGATAAGTTCTCTTCCTGCTGTTCCTCAGCTGCTCCTGGGTATCCCGGAGCAGCTCTACCACCTCCCGGTACTTGTCCTTCAGGTCGCACAGCTCCGTCGTTAAATCATCCTGCGTCTCCTAGAAGAAATCAATCAATACAAACCAATCAATATCAATCAATCAATAATTAACATGACCCACTTCATCTAGTTATTATCATTATTATTTTTATGAGTTTGATTGATATTGAATTAATATCGAATCAATATCAATCAATCAATCAATCTATCAATCAATCAATCATAACTAGATGAAGTTGATCTTATTAATCACAATAAACATCAATCAATCATTTGAATGGACTGTTCACACAATTTTATGTGAAGAGGTTTAAGTCCGATTAACAACGGTATCCTTTCATCCATTATCTGAAGATATCATCATTTTTATCATTCTTTCTGTAGCAAGTAATCATCACCCGGGATAGAAAAAAAACTATTTTTAAGAAAGAAAAACATGGATTACTCCACCAATTTTGGTCAGACAAAGGCTTTTAAGATACAGTTGTGTATTGGACATTCCTCTTTATCAATGAGAAACTCTTGGAAAGTTGAAATTACGTCTACATAATCAAATCAATTATCAATCATTAAGACAATAAAAATGAAAAAAAAAAAAAAAAATAATTTTGAGCACAATATCAAGAAAGATTAAGCAATCAAATCATCATAATGATATTCAAATATTGATTAACCGTTATGAAATAAAAACAGCTTGAAATCCTTAAAAATCATTATGACCATAAAAATGATAAAAAATTAAATGATTTTGATCATAATATCAAGATAGATTAAGCATCATCCTAATAATATTCAAATAATGATTAACTGTTATGATAAAAACAGTTTGAAATCCTTAAAAATATGATAAGAATAGTTTGAAATCCTAAATAATCCTAAAAATAAAAACGGCAGTAATAACGGGAATGTTTATTTCGTCAGGAGAAGTTAGTTTAGTTGTAAAATTCCAAAAAACACTATTCATAATTTCATAATTCTGCCAAATCCCCTCCCCCCTCCCTCTGACCCAGACATATAAACTATCGTCTGGAAGTCTGAATTGTGCATGCACGTAGTCTATGCAACGTGCGAAAACTTAGCAAAAATACGCAGAGTACAAAAGAAATCCTGTAAGTAGTAATAAAGACGAGAATAAACCACATACTATTTTAAAACATGACATTGTCTGTGTATACTGTTATATTTTCATGATATACGTGTCTAAATTTGGCTTGTCTGTCTGTTTGTATCCAATAAATGTCACATAACCGCTAAACCTATTCAGTTTTTGGGAAACCCATCAACTTGAAGCTTAGTTAGTCCGTGATTTTGGTTTGTTATCTATTTTTAAAACTTACCCCCAAAGCTAAGTTCAAATTGACTAATAAAAACCCGGACTAATATCTCTAAAATTAAGACCACATTATTTCTAAACCATTAATTGTATATTTATCTATCAATTGAAGTAGAACCCAGGAGGAAATATTTCCATGCACTTCACACATCAAGTTTAATATATGGATGGAGGCATATATTTGTGTATTGTCTGTCTGTTTGTTTGTCCGATCATAACTTAGAAACCCCTGGACCGATTTGCCTCAAATTTTGATTGGGGATACTCGGGAGAGCCACGAGAATGTATTTAGCTTGTTTTTGAGATTCTAAGTTGAGTAGATGGACTTATATATCGAAAACTTAGTTTTCCAGTTAAATCGACCAAGTGCGGGTAAACGGCGGGAGTAACAATGAGTAACCTGGGCAAGGCTGGGTTCCCAAGCTAGTTCTCAATAAAACTGCAAAATAACTATCTCCAAATTAAAAAAAAAATCTTAGATTTTAATCATGGTAGGGAATTAATAAATGCAAAAAATGATCAACTTAGTTTAAACTAATATCATCGTAAATACTAAAAAAATTGACAACGTGCAACTCTATCCACACTTTTTTCTTAACCCGTTAATCAAGTTCTGTTGCCTAGAAGAACTTTATAATAAGAATATTTTAAAATACTTTGCACATGTGACATAACGTGAAACTATCTTTATCATCTACACCTAGTGTATATTTATTATTGGTTTTCTGTTTTTAAGTTTGTGTCCATTAACTATCAGGAAGGTTTATGGACGGTCAAATTGTGCATTTAAAAAATTCAAATTTAAATTCGTTAATTAAATAAAAATCCACGAAATACGATTTACGAAAATTATGAGCTAAAGTTCAACGGCTAACAACTAAACTTGTTAAAAGAAAAGGGGCGCGAATAAAAGTTTTACGGCTGGTAAGAATAAAATAAATAAAAGAATCATGGAAATCCACCAATGATATTGAACAGTTAAGCCTTCAAAATGTATGAAAGGCTTGCGAAAAAAAGCTCCAAAAACGTGTCAAAATCTGACACGATGGGTTTATTAAAGAAAGAATTAATCAAACATCATTTCCTAGGGAGGGGGGAGGATGTCTGTTTTCCTGTGTTTTATCATTATTTTGTACCATTGTTCTTGTTCTATTCTGGTCCTAATTAGGTAAAATAAATATAAAAAAAACAATTCTTTCACAAAATGATTGAAATTTTAGATAAAAACTTCAAGTTTTAGACATAATGCAGTAAATACATTGTTCATGTACCTTGTTAATTAATAAACAATGTACAGAATTAAAAGGGAAAATGAACAATGAAATTTTGAAATTTCAATTTGATCAAATTGTAAATCTTGCATACCATATAATGCTACTGCAGAGATGTATACAAGGGGGGGGGGCAACGGGGTCTAACCCCCCCCCCCCTCGTGATTTTCAGGGCCGATTCTGCCGGCCCCTTGCTAGGCTTAGAGGAGCAAAGAAAAAGGAAACCAACAAAAAAAATTTACTAATAAAAACTTCATTATTTATATAGATATATATAGATAGATAGACAAAGGAATATATATAGCTAGATATAGATAGATAGAGGAATGTATAGATAGATAGACACAGGAATAAATAAAAATATATAGATAGATAGAGGAATATATAGATAGATAGACAGAGGAATAAATAAAAAGATATAGATTGATAGAGGAATATATAGATAGATGTAGATAAAACTATAAAGCAATAATCAGATCAGCTTCTCAGTTTTTATATTTATTAATACAAATTGTTTCAGATTGCTCCTCTTCAGTTCATAAACATGGTTTAACAACAATACTTATAGATATAGATGGATATATATAGATAGATAGATAGATAGATAGAATATAAAAATAGTTCACATATAAACCACATTTATTTTAAGAATTCTGCAGGTTCTACCAACTAACTAGTTCTCACCAGAAGTTTAGTTAAGTTTAGTTCACAATGTTAATATTTCAACGTAGTTTATAGTTTGAAGGAGTCCGATTACAACGGTACTCAAACAGATTTCGTCGTTTTTTATAGATTGAAAAGTGTTTAATTCTGACAATTTCCTCCAATGATTCTGCAGCAGATTCCTTGGCTTAGTATCGGATCCAGTTATTTAATATTTCGTTGCTAGTTAATCTAGTTAGTTGGCAGTAAGAAGTTTTTTTTTGATGTTTTAATTGACATTGTTGGTAATTTGGTATATTCACGCGGTCAGATCATCATTTTCATGATATACTCTAAGATCTATTTACCTGATAAACTCTAAGGTTTGACGTTAGATCATCATTTTCATGATATACTCTAGGATCTATTCACCTGATAAACTCTAAGGTTTGCAGTCAGATCATCATTTTCATGATATACTCTAGGATCTATTTACCTGATAAACTCTAAGGTTTGCAGTCAGATCATCATTTTCATGAGTATATTTCTGCACTCTACTCTGCAACTCACAAACCTGGCACAAAAATAAAATAAATTAAACAAAAATAAATTTCTCCGTGATAAAATAAGCAACAAATAATAATTAAGATTTTGTCAACTCTGTTTAAAAATGAAAATTTTGGATTTGAAAAAGTAAAATATAATAATAATAAAGTAATATCGTATGTTAATCGTTATCCAGGTTATTTTCTTATCACTAACTTACATTGGAATGTCATTGAAATTTAAAATTGATAGAAAGTACAACTATGCTTAATATCCATCGATTTAAAGAATGCGTTAGAAGGCATAAAAGCTGTCATAAGAAACGTCCATCAGTAAATCCCATAAAACTGAGGTTGATGAAGACGACATTTAAGCCATCTTCTGTCATTTGATTTTGTTGTAAAGAACTGAAACCCCCCCCCCCC